GTTACACAAATTTTAGTATGAGCGTTAATATTTCTATTTCTTTCTAAAGGTATTATGTATTGAAATAAATCACTTTACAGATGTTGCGGCCGACTCCCTGTCTAAAGGCATGAAATTTCCTTAGTTTATTACAGCAACACCTGGCTGAGATTTAATTAAAAATTGCCCGTTTTAGTGTCTTCGTATGGCACTGGAGATTTATTAAAAGCACGATAAACTATGTTATTACAGCGGCAGACAGCCAACTGGAGTTCTCACAAAGGCAACTGTGAATCAGATTTGATGCGTTTTATAGTTACGAGCCTCAGATAGAGTTTACGGCCGGCTTAGAGTTCCGCGATGCCGTGCTTTAACTGCTTATAAACCATATTGGAATTTCAATTATTTGATTGTAGCGGCACGACTAACTCACTGGACACTAACGATACCTACAACTGAAACTTAAATCGAGACAATTTCATTACAGCCTCATTTTGTCTGGCATAAAATGTTTGTGTTTACATGCCAGAAGCTATAGACCTAAATAAATCTGGACCAAGGGGAAAATCTTTAACGTCAAAAATATTGCGAGAACATTTATTAGAGCGAGTATATCATGTTTTTTTCTAGGAATAATATGACTTAGTAAATATAGTAAAAGAGCGCGTACGTTGACATCCACGTTATTTATTCGCAAAAAATGTGTGTTGTAAGTGTTCGCTAAAAAGGCGAGCAGACGGCGTCGCGGCCACGGGTCGACGGCCGCGCCCAGAATAACCAGCAGCAGCAGCTATATTTGCAGCAGCGACGCGGGCGCAGGGGGGCGAGGCGTACCAGCGCGTGCCATTTCTGCATCCACCGCCCGGTGCATCTGAGTAATGCCATTATAATGCTCTAGATATAGTTCTAATGAGTGGATGCGAGCAGGCAGACACTGCGTCGGCGTTGTCGCCGCTGTGGCTATCACTAGTGAGCCACTTCCTTACCACGCTCCGCTGTGCCCGTGGTACCTCCGTGAAGGTAACTCGTAAATCACTATCTGTCGTCACAAACAACCAAGATTCGAGATAACGCCACTCCAATCTTATAACGGATGAATTGAATGTATTAAAATTGACGAGAAGCCGATGATGAGGTCAGGCTTGAACCTGCAGTGCATTCCAGTATGCTTATTATACCTATACCTAATATATAATGATGAAAGCCGCTCCTGGGAACAGCCACTCGCCACTACGATGTCATTTGTCATCGCCGGCTCCTGTCACATCACATACGCATACTTTCTTATACTCTGTAATTACTTTAAAAGACGGGAATCTTGCCGTTTCCATTTAAAAAAATGCAGTTGATGGGATGATGAGTAGTGACAATAAAGAATTGCTCACAAGCGCACTTTGAAGTGAAACCGAAAACGACTACCTACGATGCAATAATAATGACTCAAGCAGTCGTACCTTTGAAATAATTTTATAAAAAAACTGTTAAACTATAAACTATAATTCATCAAAGTAATGTGTTCGAATATCATTTCGTATGATTAATAAGTTTCCCTCGCTAATTTAAATGTCCAAAACCTGTAGAAGTGTCGAGTTACTCAAGCGAAGCAGTTCACACAAAAATGGTACATTGATAGTGGTCATCAAAGTGACTATACATGCAAAAAGCCCATAAAGTTATATGTCGTTCAGTCGATTTCCACATGTGTAGATAGTTTTCGCGACAGATGGCCAGTGACTCATGAACCTGTTGCCAGCGGTAAACGTTTCCAGTGTAATCGATATGACAATATTTATTAATCATTTTAAGACAAAGTTAGGTGAAAAATGCAAACGAAATACGTTTTTTTAAGGCTTAATTACTTGTAGAATCTATTTATCGACCGCTCCTGTTTGCAAAATTTTAAGATATCAAATGTCTAGCTTAAAAACGAATGACATCAGCACTGTTATCATGAGCATGGTTGTAAAAATGACATCATTAACGAGGAAATGAAATTGATCAAATCACCGAGATCACGTCATGCAATATCTAATTAGACTGTAATTAAATATCTTAACCTTTCCGGGCAGATACATGTTTCATTTTTGTATCAGTCGTGTCGTGAAATGCCTCGCAATGAGCACGCACGCAATTTGGAAGCATTATGATCTGAAGTTGTAGCGTCCAAAACAAACATCAGTTGTAAAATATATTGGAATATTCTTTATTTGGTATTAATTTTACGCAATTTGAATATATGTACAAGTTTTTTATAATACATACAACATACGTCATAAGAAAAAAAAGAGAGAGAGCAGGTTCTAGACAAGGACAGAAACACATTCTAGAATCGAGAAATGGGTAGTGTCCATCTTAGGCCCCTTTTTTAAGTATGCATTAGCACATAAAAATTGCAATTGTTATTAAGAAATTAAAATAAAAAATATATAGGTTTTTGTGATCCTTAAAGAGGAGGAAATTTCCAAGAAAAGGTTTCCGACACCCACGGAATGAATAGGGGTGGTGACACTCTGTATTCTTAACCCGTCACCATGCCGACAGTTTTTAAGTAATTAACAAAAAAACGAAATGCCAGCTTTTTTTCATCTTAATTTGTTAATCATCATCAACAGCCTTTAGCAGTCCACTGCTGGACATAGACCTATTATATTATACTACGCCAGCCAGACGGGTTGGTATAGGTTTTGTGTCAAGTTTTCCTGCGCCCTTAGTCGGCTCTTACGATACCCACCGGATGCTTGGGGGTGGTAACAATCCGTATTCTTAATCCGTCACCACACCACACAATTTGTTAATGACAATTGAATTTTTTTTTGTGCCAATACATACATTCTATACATTTTTCTAGACGTCATTCGAATGAATCGAATGACCCATCGCTAATATTTTTAGGAACTTTATCAAGAATTAACACGTTTTTGAAATCACATACAAGTGGCCGTTTGTACCTTGAAAAACTTATATAAGACTTAAATATGACAATCTTTATCTCTCTCTTATATGTTTATGTCTAAAGACGGTCAATAATTATACTAATTACAGAAAATATGACAAGTAAATTGTCAGTCACTAATAATGTAATAATATTTAGATAATCCAAATAAAAATTTAATCTAATCATTTTAGAATCGGTCAAGCTTTTCTATGTTAAGTTTTAAATCACTGGCAAGGCCCAAAAAAGGAAGAAACTATATTTCACAAAGACAACTTTAGTTAAAGCTGACTGAAAACAATTCTTAAATAATTTAAAATAAATATTTTTTTCGAACGACCGTGAAATGGCGAAATAAAATTCCTATAATAATCTAAATTATGTTATCTATATTATTTTATGACGGGCTTATTGGACTAGTGGTAACAGATCCTGGCTGCTGAGCCTGAGGTCTTAGATTTGATTACCAACGAGTGTAAATTTAAACGGCAATCATTTAATGTTAAATTAATGGCATTTTATGAGTTCGGTTCTTATTTACCTAAAATATGTAGGAGGTATCTCATATTGATCTACTCACTAGCTTTTGCCCGCGGCTCCGCCCGCGTGCATGTCAGTTATCGCGGTAAAAAGTAGGCTATGTCACTCGCTGATAATGTACTCGTAGCTTATCATTGGTAAATTGGATTTTTTAAAATCGGTTTAGTGGTTAAGGCGTGAAAGCGTATAAAAAAACTCACTTTCACATTATAATATAAGAATGGAAGTATGGATTAAAACATAACTCTCTAGAGTACATTTTAGATGCCAGCAGGCACCTCAACTTCGTATTAGGCTAAAATCAACTATAAAGAAATATTAGGATAAAACAAAAACGACAAGCAAATTAAACCGGGAAGTAAACTAGTAGAAGTAGAATAATGTATAGTTTAACTCCTAGCTACTAGGTAGAAGACAAACTAAGATCAAAGGCAAATGCTATCTAGAGACATGTTAATGGAATTCAGCATTAACAAAATCTCACGCTGTCCGTTAGTCCTTACCTTAATGTACATATCTGTAATACTTTAACATATTGTTACGACAGAGGAATGGATTAAGCTGTTGCTGGAGCAAACTATATTTTTAATAATATGAAGTTATGATTGCGATGTTGGTATGGAAATTAGACTATTAATATTGTGCTTATGATAAAATAAACAGCCGGTCTGGGTCATTAATTATGTGCAATTTACCTACTATCTCTGTTGCTGTGCCCAGTGGCCGTTAGGTATAGACTTCTAAAAACATGCTATAACCTTGTCCAAACACAAAGTCAAAGTAATTAAATTAACTGACGCATTTAGTGGTAAAAATATGTGACGTTTTATATTACCTACAATTTATCATTCTTCATACACAAAACTCTAGACAAAAACAACTCGAATGAATTCAAATCTGTAATTATGCTTCAAATTAATAAATAAATACTAGTTGTTAAAAAGGCAAGTAATTATGGAATAATTTTAGCGAATTGTCTGATTTAAAAACTCGTTCGGGTAGACTGTATGCATTACATTTCACAACTACACACCTATTTTTTTACTTGTTTCTCATTTATACAATACGTAATTAAAAGTCCGTATCGTAACTTAATGGTAAAATTAACATAACTAAAGATGAAAAATATAGATGTACAGAAATGTAACACAGATTTATAAATTATATCTATAGCAAATCGTAATAATTTTTAGCAGGTGGATGTGTTATTTATTTTTTCACAGTCAGTGTAAAAAGCTTCATTGCATAGTATCGGATTCTTTTCAATTGTACGTAATGTTGTTAGAAAAATAGTACCCGGTGTTTGATAAAAAGTAACGGCAAGTACTTGTAAAGATAAATAAAACTAAAAGTTATCTCAAAGTGATCAAGTATCTAATAAAACTCAAAGTATAGTATCATCCAAATAAATACCAAAGACACGAGATGTTGTTGAAACATAAAGATTACCTATCTTTGGTTTAAAAAAAGCTGAAAGCAGAAATTTTAATATCTCGTAAATCACAAAAACAATAGTAATATTTCTACATTATACACAGTATCCACTTACAGTTAAGATCTCCCGCGCAAGTCTTGCAACATCTGCCAGGCAAAAGCACTGGCGTGTCACATGAGGGTTCCGGACATTCATTCTTGATGTTCCGGCAGTGAACCTTAGCTACAACTCGTCTCTTCTTTTGTACCTGCAGTAAAAACATCATTTACATGAAACAAATGTTGCATACGCTAAACTATACTTACATATTCTAGTGTATGTCAAACATAAATATATTGCCAGCCAAAAAGGCAAAAAGGCATAAACCCTTTTAACTGTCGCAAATAATTTTATAATTAATACGAATACTTCATGGATGGGACATGAATAATTAAACCATGAATAAACTCTTTAAATTTGAAAAAAAAAACCTTCAATTTCAACCTCTTTTCTCTCTTCCTCTATCTCTAAAAGAAATTTGTGTAAATAATTAGATCAATTAAAATTTTTAGAAGTATTATGCGATCCAGATATATATATATATATATTATATATTACATCACATATTATATCCTAAGGTTTATCCTGGGTAAACTCATAAATAGATCATGATCCTGGTGGTCTAAAAATGACTACATACGACGCATATTGTGTAGAATAGAGGATTAATACTGCGGTGAAGCACAGTCAAGCAAGCAAGCTCAAAATTTCAATGCAATTTTTAATGAAAGGACCACCCTGGACGGCTACATAACACTTGTACATTTTGAATTAATGAAGACTTAGCCTATTGAATTATTAAGCGTATTTTCTCAATGACAGGGAAGCATCGGCAACCTATAGTAATACCAATTGATTTGTCAAAATCTCTGATAAGATTAGTTCTGTGAAATAAATTCATTTATCATTAACTGATTTCAGTGGCTTCGTCCACGTAGATAAGAAATTAAATCCAGAAAAAAAAAGGAATAAAATTAAAAATAAGATTTTGAACAAAATACAATACTTGGCTTTAAATATTCTATTATATTATATATATTATTTTAAGATAAACACTAAATTGTAGACCTACATAAGGCAAAATAAGCTTTTGTTTGTTGAGTTCGAATCTGATTTATAATTTTAATTTAAATAAAGATAAAGAAAATTTATCGAAGAAAAACCCCTTTTTTTTAAATTCATGTCCCTGCTTCAAACGATAGTTGTTTGCCTAGTTAAATCAGCATCTCTGTGGTGTTCGAAACACTATTAATTTCACATTATATTGATTAAGGAAGAGTGCTAGTGAAAAACTTTTCCAATAATTTAATTTCTTTCATTTTTGGCTTGTCTTAAGTTAACCTGCGCAAATTGCCGGCATTTTGCAAACATTTAAGCGATTTTAAAGATCTTGTTTGGGCTCAAGTAAACAGAATCAATCGACACCGCGTTCATAAATGTTGCAGATTTATACAAAGTAACACACTGAGATCACGTTACACTGATAATATAATTGAAAGGTTTCTCTTTAGTTACATTTCATTAGTGTGATATAGCTACTCAATTTATTATTAAAGTTTATTATTCGATGTATTGTCAATACGTACCGCAACACACTCACATTTGATGCAGTACATCACACCGAAGGGTGGGCCCAGGTCCGCAAACCACTTCGAACCCAGCTCCATAGCTTGTTTGCCGAACAAACATTCTGCAACAATGTAAAAAGGAAAGGTGTTTTAGACTGCCGATATACATACGCTTTATACACTCACGTCTTTTATACCCAGAGGAGAGACTGAGGCGGATTAAACTTTGGCAACTGTAATTTTAGTCCCACCACGCAATAAGGAGCAAGCCTTATTGGTTTCTAAATAAACATGCTTATATTTTTGCCTCGGTGATGTAGTGGTTGTATATGTGACTGCTGTGCTAAAGTCTCGGGTTCGATTCCCAGGTCGGACCAAATGTTTGTATGATCTACAAATATTTGTTTCGGAGTTTGGGTGTTTTCTATGTATAATATGTAAGTATGTATTTACGACAAAAAAAAATAGGTATTCTATCAGTCAATGTAGCTTTCATAGTACAAGCTTTGCTTAGTTTGAAACTAGATGGCGTTATGTGTCGGATATTGGGCATCTTTAATCCAGAAAAAGTACCTACTATTTTAAAGTTTAAACCAATTTTTACGCAAGTGTAATGCCACGAACAAAACCTACTATGAAATAATATAAATTCATTGTTTGCAAAATTTTAATAGTCATAAAAACGAGAGTTTTCAAAAAAATATTCATCTAAGCTAAGCTTAAGAAAAGTTATGACTAGATATTTTATACTATTGCCCCTATAACCAATCACCAATGTCCATGATTGATTCTTATACTACTTTGTATTTAGAGTTTATATTAAAACTTAGCGGTTCTTGAAAGTAGGATGTCCAAGTAGCAGGGACCTGCTGGACTGAGAAAGACCTGTCTTGAAGGAAGTCTTTACGAAAGGACTGTTTGCAATAAACCTCACGATAAAGATTAACAAACAGCATCATAAAATATATCCGTACTGGATAGATATAATCTGTAGATATACCTTATAACGATTCATCAACGACTTGATTACCAATATCTAGCTAAGGAAACTACGCTTTTAATCCTTCTCTTAAAGATTCACATGTAAACCAATGTATTCAAGTATTGTATATATATATATAACTTCCTTAATTGTAAAGTACAAAATAAACAAGCACATCTCTTTTTTTTATTTATTAATTTACTGTACGCATAGCGTAGTGGTTTAAGCGGTCGCCACGCCGCTTCCTGCTACGCCAAGTGTTGTGGATTTAAACCCCACATGGGACGACACTGTGTAACTGGATGTTCTTTGTGTCCGTTTCATGTATGTTTGTAAAGTACCCTGCGACACAGAATATATTCCTAACGCGGGAGTTGTCTTTTTAACCAAAAAAAATATTTGGACCTTCCAATAATAATGTGATTTTTACAGCGCATTTACACAAGTTAAACAAGAAATATTCTTACTGTCAATGCAAAGGTCATTTAAGATACGATAATTTGTATATTTTAATTAAATGCTTTTATTCGCATACGTAATTTGAAAATACAGAATTGTGATCACGTTTCTGCATTTGTACACAAAATTTACTACTCGTATTAAAAAGTACTACAAGTAATCAGTTTCTTTACAAAACTTACGATGGCGTGCCAATGCGCGCCGTGCATGAGATAAAAGCGAATGGCACAGTCAATGAAATGGTTTAAATAATAAATGAATGTGTTCAATATTCGATCATTTATAACTGTACGAGTGACGTCAACTCTTAATAAATAGATGGCCTAAAAAAACAAGCAAAAAAAATTAAACTGAATATTGCTAGCCATACAAGCGAGTAGAAAATATATTATAAACTTGACAAAGGGTTTCTCTCCATAAAAGAATGCATAATCAAGCTGGAAGCCACTTCTTTCATGCGAATGGGCTATGAAATGGTGATATGTGCTAAATTTAATTTTAATATGAATCTATATTCACGGAGCGTTTAATGACCTAAGGGCCTTTTCACACAGAAAATGTTCCGTTTGATGTGTGTGAAAAAGAAAGGCATACTTGATCAACAACGCCGAATTGCTGTAATGCAGTAATTTACGTGACAGCAACTTTACGAGCTCTTTATCTTTTTAACTGACTTTTTACTGATCTAACTGATCATAAAGTCAAGTATGGTCAAGTATAAATCTATCTTAAGACGAATTAGCTCACATTCCATTCCACGTGTCAATATACACGCGTATATTATAGTACTCCATTTTATTTGATTTATAAGTTAGCAGCTACAGAACCTGCGCAGGTACAGGTTAACAAGTTGCATTTACATACCAAACTTGTGAGCAAACATCTAAAAATAAAAGGTGCATCGTAGTGTTAAAATAAATGTATGTAGAAAATACATGCGTGTTTAAAATGACACTGGTGGACGAAGATAGCAATTGTAGGTATTTTTTATTAGTTCAAGACCTTCCGAGATTATTACTGTTTCTTGTAAGCGACTTTGAAAAAAGGAGCAGGTTTGCAATTTGTTTTTTTATCCAACCACCAGCAGCCTAATGGCAGGATGGTCAATGAATTATTCAAATTTCGATATCGCATTGATTATTTAATTTCAGTTAAGCGGATGCTTAACTGAAATTAAATAATCTGTCTGTGCTGTTTTATTGTAAGGGTAAGTGTAAAAGGATTTTTACACTTACCCTTAGAATAAAACATCCTAATCAAGTGAGTAGGAATAATTACAAAGTATCTCAAAAGTATGTACTTGTAGATGAACTGAAGTAGCCCAAGTGAATTAGAAGAACGGGCCAAATATAATTCATGTACAAAAACATGAACAGAATTCTTTTTACCTGTTTTTCGTCAATTTCGCAGACGGAGAGATGTAAAATTTGCAACACCAAAAGCTTATATTCTACATAAAATGTAAAAGTGCTACCAATTTGAATAACTATGCTAAAATTGCATTCTAAGCGTTATCGATATTACACAGGTGTCACTCAGCAGCTCTACAACTACTACTACAACTCTACCAAATATTACAAAAACAACAATAGATTTGACTAATAAAGGCAGTATTCCCCTATACAGACTTCAATTCTAATCTCCTGCATCCCGCCTCTTTCTGTTTTTCTGACTACTAAATACAATCCAGCAATCCATTACGTTACACTTCGTTTCAGGCGAAACCTAACAAACTAAAAACGAAAAAAGTTTTTTTTGGTATCATGGGTCCGTTAAACGTTAATAAAAACCCATAAACTAAAACAGCTTTCCTCCAATTCCTGAAATAGGCAATTTTATCTAAAACTCTGATTATATCTTATTCTTATCTAAAACATTTATCCTATATTTGAAATTTACTAATTCAAGAAACATTGAACAGTATTAGTATTAACCATATAGTAGATAGACTAAGTTTATGTAATCCTCGAAGAAGATTTGAATAATTTAATTTATACAGACAAACATCATGCGATTTTGTATCGTAGATAGATTCGCTATCAGATGCGTCTGGTCGATAAAGTGCTCGGCCTCTACGTATAGGCGTCACTGTTATCTTCCTCTCCTAACTGTTTAATTAACCTCACACGCAAGTGCACTGATAACGATTGAGTCTTGCTGCGTGAGAACATGTAACTACTCATGTGAATATATATATGTATGTGACATTGTTTTTAATCTTAAACCAAAATTAAAGCTAAAACAACGCTTTCAAAATGTTATATTATTTGACATCCGTAGACAACACGACAGATGCCACATGGGCTCTTCAAAAAATACTGGCGACCGTTACTTATTCGCGCTAGACAATTTAATGTAACTAAATGATGTACTCGTACGTAAATCTACTGCCACTCAACAACGCGCGACGTCACCTATAATAAGGAAGAAGGGTGACGCCAATGATGCGATACCGACCCGCATTCAGGATGCAATAATCTATACATTTGTGCCTACCACACAAACGCCATTAATGACAAGAAACGACAAGCATTATTTCTGTATTTTATTACAAATTTTTTGAGGGTACGTCAAATTCATTAAAAAGGAAAATTATGAATGCAACTAAATAAGAAAGTACTAATATTGTTTGGGCTTTCATGTCTGCCAAAATTTACCGCCAGGTGTGGCGGATCGTTAAGAGACATGACGAGACGCTGCACCGACTGGTCCGCTGTTACCACACGCCAACCTATTTTGTAAGACGCGGATATTTTTTACTTTTATATATAAAAATATTATCTCTGACATGATTTAGGCATATAAAGTGAGGCGAGACATCGCGTAACCTTCCTTTCGTTTTCTCGGAAACGTTGGCAATGGGCCAGAAGCGCTTCGCCAGGGAAATGAAGTATTGGCGACGCCCGTCTTATGCTTCTTTCACGATCTGTTTATGGAATGTACCCGATGCGAACCACTGTTTATTTTGATTTGATTACAACCGCATCAGAAAACTTTGGTTTATTTATAAATATTTATAAGATATATGTTATTTTATGTTAGTATTTGATAAATTTAGTCTAAAATTCTGTTTCATTTTATGTCATTATTTTTGCATATCTCCAGCCCCGGATTTAGGGGGAAGGGGGCTAACCGGGGTATCCGCTTCCACCGGCAGTTTCTAGAGCCGCTAGAAAATTATAATAATAGTGTGATTAAAAAACAGAACTTACCCCACAAAGCGACTAGCATCCGGAAGCCTGGTTAACTCACCGTCGACTAGTAAGAAGAAAGAGAAAAAAGAAGGCGCCACACAAGCCCACACTTCAAGTAAACTTATATATTTGTAAGTTTTTTTAAGTAACTTATCTCAAACGCTGCAGAGAGGGACGCTATTATCAAGTTTCTGCCGCGGTTAGAAAATATCGTAGGACTGGCAATCACTCAAAGACACGCAAACACACAGACTCAGACTTAGTGCATTGTAGGTTATAGATTACGGTGGGTATGAGTTGCATGTCAAACCAGAAGTATATGATCGCCTCATTGAAGTGTGCACAAGTCGCTACGATAAATCGTATACATAAAAGGGTTGAAAGAGGCGTACGCCGTATTTCAACGGACGTGGGCAGCGCATAAATTGTTCGTTCTGAATTAGCCTTAAGCAGGATATTTTGAC